CTTCTTTACAATTTGAAAAGAATGTTAAATTGTATGTACAGAGTCCTCATAAGGCAGTACCTCTTCTGAGTGCTGTCTCAACTTGTTAAAAAACAAAAAAAGAAAGAAAAAAAATAAAAGAGAAAGTGAAGTTGCTCATACAATTTTGTGGTGTACATTTTGGAAATGCGTGGATGTTAGATGTTAAGAGTATTTCTAATGCAAAGAAGTATACAAATTAGCTGGCCATCATGAAAATAATGGATGACAGAGATTATGTTTTCAACCCACTCAGACACACCTCACTGAATAAGGCAAATTCCTTCAAGTACAACAGTGAATATAATGTTTTTTCAGCTATTTATAGCTAGGGAAAAAAATGCAAATTCAAGTGTAGACCGGTGTTTGGCCTTTTCCCAGACTTCTGTGGAGATGCAAATGAAAGTGTTAAATGAAAGTGTTCACTGAGCAATTAGTTAAAAGTTTCTTAAGAAAATAAAATCATATAACATAACTTAAACCAAGCAACAGAACAGTTTGGATGGTGAAACATTACATCTGGAGCTTGGATGAACCAAAGGAACGCACACTTTCCATTTCAACTGTAATACAGAATCTGTAATACCTTGATTCATCACTTACTGCATTATCATAGATTATAAATATAGTCTGAGTTTTGATGCAAGTATAGACTCTGTTTTTTCCACTGTGGTACATTATCTACATGCTATCAGAGCCCTAAATATTTTGCATAGAACTATACAGGGGTACTTTCTGTGGGTTTTTTTCAGATGCTGTGATATTTTCAGATGTGTAACCTCATATTTGGACAATGGTTTGACAGGACATGTATTTCTGTTGTCACCACCAGCATATCAATTTATTCAATTGAATGAGTTAGTATTTTGCATTAATGAAATAATATACAGTGGTATCACTGAAGGTCTTAATGAGGAAATTCTGAAGTGCAAATTTTCCTCATTTGTATTGCAGTAACTTCAAGATCAGTACTCCCATGTCAGTTACTTCAGACTTGGTCATGGTTCCTTTATTTTTGCCTTTCACAGGAGCGTATTTTCTTTTACATTGTTGGGGTGGGCAAAAGGCATACTACATTTTTTTTCTGGGATTAGTGAGTGAAAAGGAATCAATTGGGTATCTGAGATTTCACTGTGCTTCATTAGAAAATTGCTAACTTATTCTGAAAAAGCTTCCATATAGTGAAACATGAGGTTCAAATATTTGAGCAGATTATAAATCATAATCTGATAGGTCCAAAACCAATTAATTTTTCAAATTCTATTTCTTGCTTATAATGTGATGGGAAACAACTTTTTTTTTTTGCATGTGTTTGCTATTTGCAATTGCACCAAAACTGTTTCAGTCAATGAGCTTTTTCTGAAAAATACCATCAGTAATCACATATTGACTAGCTGCAGCAGAAAATGTGTTTGTGTTACATGCTGCACTTTTCTTTCTCCTGTTTAATAGGAAATTAGGAGGATGAATTCTGGCCCACAGTATAACTTAATAGAGTAAATAATGATACTTGATACTTCAAAAGAAAGGTTGTCTTCATGCATTAGTTTCAAGATCACTTCTTGAAGAAGTTACAACTGACTGTATGAAAAGACAATCAGTTTCAGCAGGGGCATGAATAACAAAGTTGTGCTCATACACTGGTATTCTTGTATTACTAAAGCTTACTAGCCTTCAGTGAACTTTATAACCTGAAATGTCTTGAATGAAGTCTTATATAAAATGTAACTATTTTTCCATATCTAAAGTTTACTTTAAAAATATGAGTACCTGTTCTTCTTCCTAAACCCCTTCATTCTTTCATCAAATGTACTTGCTTTAAATTCGTTGCTTTTTCCACTGTCTAAACTAGGTGGATTTGAATACTTATAGAAAGAATTTAAAGCATTTGGTTGTTATTAGTGTGGAGATAGCTGACTCACACATGCAAAAAATTAAAGAAACTTACAAATGTTCCACCAATTTTTGTTTTGTTTTAGGGCTATACAGCACCAAACCACATCCTGTAGCTCAACAAATGTTTTCCCTTTTTATTTTTATTGCGCAGTATCAAGTTAATAAACCAAAGAAGTACAATACTCTTATTCTCTATTCCCCATTTTATTATTTTTATTTAAATATAACATACTGTACATTGTTGCTTAGTGAATTTTGTTTCCTTTTTCTTTTTTAAATAGCTCCCCATTTTCCTTTAGTTCAGGAGTCTGTTATGCTGAGGGTGACAGAAAACAGAGCTTACGGTCGAGTGGCTGAGGATCTGTGATACTCTAGATAAAGTGTTTGGAGTTTGTTCCCACTACAGTGAGTATTACAATATAAGAAACATCCAGGATTCATTGACTCCTTCAAGTTTGGTTTTTTTATTTTAGTTAATTTTCAGAAACCACTATTCATGTCACAAATGGCTCCAGACTCACTTTGGAAAAGTGACATTTCCTAACCTTGGCCTCTGAGCAGCATGATGTTTTGAGTACTATGATAATATTTATGCATAATCCCTCCTTGACCAAGTCATCTAAGTAATTCTGCCGAAAGAGAATTTCATTTGTACCCTAAATTTTCTTTAAGTGGTCATCCAATACTGCATTCGCCCAAGCTCACTTTGAATGTTCACTGTGGGTGGTCCATTATCTCTTGCCAGTTTTAATTACTGATTACACATTTTAAACAACAGAAATTCACGTTTGTCATGGTACTTAAGTTTTGTTGTGACCTGCAATTATATTTAAAATCTGAAATTCTTATTTCCTGTTGTAGAAAAATCTGATTTATAGAGAAGGAAGCTGGAGATAAAGTACCATGACATACAATGTCAGCTATTAGCTAAAATGTTGCCTCTCAATTAATTCTGGGTTTTAAAACAGTTGAGTTTATTTAAGTACAGGAAATACAATCTGACCATTTTGTATTTTATGGGAAAGCTATTATTTCTTGCCTTTTTTAAAAAAACAGCTAATATTTAAATAACAGATTAAGATTGAAGTGCTGGTTAAGCATTGACTTAAATAAGTTATAGAAGATTCCAACAACACCAGCCTTTATAGAGGTTAAACATTCTCAAAAAGACATATTAAGCAAGGCTCTCCTTTGTACCAAAATACAGTTTCCAAACAATAAAAATAAAACCAACTTTTTCACAAGAAATATTGAAGATAAAACTGCAGCATCAACATAGCCTCAAAGTTATCACTTAAAATATTTAGAACAAAATAATATTATACTACTTTTGTTTCTTACTAATGACACTGCAAAGGCTTATTTAATTATTTAGTGGAATACAATGTGAAGACAGTGGTACAAATTGTTTCATGTACTGTTTTATATTTATCTGCTCTAAAAAAATGAATCTCATTATGATTACATTGGTGAGCTATCCAGAGCTCTCTAAAATTACAGAGTAAAGTAAAACATAAAACAAACCTTATGTACCTTTAATTGAACAGACTTCATATTATGCTTAACTTTGTTATACTGCAGTTGCTCAAGTTAAGCCATGGGACTAGTAACACTTCATAAAAATGTGCTGGTTATTATGTATTTTGAGCCTTTAGTTACTACGATGGATATGAAAGGCATGCTAAAGCTGGGTACCAGCACGGCTTTTTGGTTGGCTTTCATATATAATATACATGTGAGTAATAATCTCATAAATACATGAGCATGATTTTGGATCCCCTGTTCTTCAGTCCTTACGTAGGTATCACTCCCACTATATCCCCATGATTATACAAGCCAGTAGCAAGGACAAATGTGCTGAATGGCGTATTAACCGAGTAAGGAGTGCAGGACTGTGTTGTCTTCTTACTTACCTATCAGAGGCCAAACTTTGCACTTAGGAATTACATTTTAACACTTAAATTTTAGCATTTGCAAACTCAGTGAATTGAACAGGGCTGTCCAGACCTAGGTACCAGCTCAATGCTTGTTGCAGAATATTGCACTGATTGCAATGCATTAGATCTTAGTTCCAAATTAAAATCAAAGTCAGATGAATGTACACACAGATGCACTGACACCCAAGTACAGATGTGGCCCCTTCTCTCAATTTCAAAATAGCAAAAAGACCCTTTGAACAAAGTATTTCTTGAAGTTTGTTCTTGAGTGCTGATAAGTAAAAAAATGTCTCCCACATGAAAGACACCCAATACCATAAATCCGAGCACTGCCTGTTTGGTCTTTTTGCTTAAGTGCAAGACAGTTTAAGAAAAAAATGGATTATACACATTAAATTCTACCTTTAAAGCCTTGTCTAATACCTATTCTCAGAGTACTTCTGAGGTTTTGACATTTTCACCTATCAACCTCTTTGTGAAGTACTGAGAAAAAGGGAAAAGAACAAAGAAGCAAATGAGGAAAACATTTCAAACAAAAAAGATATTTAACATCCTATTAAATAAATAACTTAGAGAGAAATTAAAAGAAATGAAGTTAGAACATACAAGCAAACTGCACTATTCGTTTTGTTAGAACAGTTTTACACTACTTTGCTTATATTCCTTAATCCTATCCATTCGTTCACACAGCTTCTCCAGAAATGTCACTATTTGTGCATTTGACCCAAGTGCTTCCAGTAAATGCTTGCGCGTCTAACTGTTCATTGGATCATTAGGCTTGAACGAGCAATTAAGGTCTTTGATATGAGTTAGTATTCCATAAATAACTTTCCCCATGAAGATCACTCAACAGATTGTCTCACATCCCTTAAGTTCTGTTGCAGAGTTAAAAAAAATTGTTCACACTGGCAATAACTTCCATTCCATTTGATCCAGCTTGTATTTTGATTCTAAGACGTGACACCGAACTAAATAAAAGTATTTCATGTTACAGCAATGAGTACAAAACCTTCAAAGACTTCCCCTGCTCTCTTTTCAAACAAGCAGATGTCTGCACTATCTCTCTGCATTTACTCTTCAAGACAATTACCAAATATTCTCGACATAAGAGCCTTTGGTTCAACTGCACCAGTAAAACAGTTCTTCCATCTATGACATTACTACCATTGGAAGAAAGTGAGCTGAAGTGTTTTTCCTTCGTGTTTTCTGTCCTCTCTTTGTGGCTCCCCTTCCATTCAGGGCCACGAACATTTGCCTTCCGTTGTGCTTCCAATGTAAGGATGCATATGTGTTATATCCATTTTCTTCTATTCTTTCCTTCAATTTGCAATCACTGTTAAACTCCTTCTATTAAAAGAAGACAAACACACAAATTCAGAATAAACATAATCTTTCAGAGTTGCAGCATACTGAAAGTGAATAGTTTCTAAAAACATTTTGGAAGATTTCAGTGTTCTGTATGTAACACCTTTTTAGGCTTCTACAGTGGACTTAAAGAAAAGTTTCACTGTGTCCACACCACTTAAAGCAACATCAGTTAGACTGCAAAATGTGAAACCAACAAAAGATGTAATCAATTATTCAGTGCATAATTATAGCAGTGAAATTATATAATTCACTCACAGTTGAAATTATACTTCTTTCTGTGTTGGAATACAGCAACAATATTAAATCAAATTTTCAGAGATAAACTCAAAGTAGAAGGTAGCAATCTTAGAATAATTCATCATATTTCAGTTCTAACAAACACAACACTTAAATATCTTGAACCAGATTATTGATACCATATGTTAAACAAATATGCATGGCATAGGCCTACTTCTTATTTAAAACAAGATCCTTTACACCACACTGGCCATAAAAAGGTGCTTTTTTGGATGGATGCAAATCCATTTTGCACCAAAAGCAAAATTATGCTGCTATTATAATGGATGTGAGGCCTGTTTACTTTGCTGACCTGAAGAAGGACTTAGCCTAAAAAAGAATAATGTATGATCCTATATCTTATTGATTAAATAAACTTGAAAGCAATTTTGTGTATGTTACCAGGGATTAAAGTTTTCTATGCTTAAAGGAGAACTAGTTGTCAGTTTGTTAGAAAGAACAAAAATACAAGCATGTGGAAGAACGTAGGGGGAGACTATTTTTCTCTATAATGTTAAATGCACTTTTACATTGATCTGCTTTTTTTTCACAAACTAGTGATTCCTACATATATAAACCCTCAGTTTGATCAATTTACTTATATTGCATTTAGAAGGCTTTTGAAAGTGGAACATTTACGACATATTTAAATTAAAACAAAAGAATAGCATTTTGTTGTTTCTGCACTGCAGCTCAGGCAGAAGCATGTCAGAATCTCAGAGTATGATATACTAACTACATGTGGTATTTTTAATGTGTCATAAAACAAGATAATAAATATGTCTGAATAAAAAAACAATTTTCATGGTACAGATAAGAATTGCAGAGATCTTTTATTATGATCAAAATCCTTATTCAGCTAGTAAAGATACAGAAATTATTCACATGAATAAAAAAGGGCATAAGAATATTAAAAATACATTTTCCACTCCTATTAATTTAAAGTGAAATTTTTATACTAGTTTATGTTCAATACTTTGATACAGTAAGAATTTTTTGGGTCTATAATCAATGTTTTACTTAGTTGCTGCTAAGACCACAGAACATAGGCTGACGTTTTCTAAAACAATTGCACATATTCAAACTCAGTTTAGCTCTCTGACTTAGTAGTTAGTTCAACAATGTTGGGGAAGACACTATCAAGAGGAGACTCCCTACAAAATGACCTTTGATACTGTCTGTACTTGCAAAGCTACACAGAGATAATTTAATATTTAGTTGCTGTAATATGTCACCTCTAGTGTCAAGGTATTAAGAAGGCAGGTAGCCATCAATCACAGTTCTAACTGCAGTAACTCCCCTATCTGCTAGCAGGTTATTATGTTAAAGAAACCAAATAGTAAGTCTTCTTTTGCTCCTTCATTCTAACCAAAGTCAGTCAAATAGAAATGTATTCTATAAACGCAGAAAACAGTCTTGTTTTCCCAGATGCAGAATCGTACTCAAATCCAAACTTTTATCTCTATTCTTAGATAATACAAAGAGAACAGATGATGCTGTGGTGTAGTAAGAAGTCTTTCTGGCAGGGGTCTAAGCGTTAGCCCAGGACTGCTTTGCTCATTTCAAATTTCAGCACAACTCTCCACCAGTGCCTATTGTGCACATGCTTAAGAGTGTTTTTACAATTTTTATTGGTTCTGTTTTTGATATCCATCTGCAAGCTGCCACACTGTAGTAACACAAGTCTAACTACAAGTCTTGGGAGGATGGGAAAAATAATAATAGAATCATTCTTGAAATCTCTAAAGTATTATGGAGTAAGTTTTGATAAGACATTATGTTGTGATTTTATGATGTGAATATTGAAAAACTATCTCAGCTGGAATTAAAAAAAAGGCTTTCCACATTCGTATCCTCTTGTCAACACTATTTCTAATACACTATGAATTACTGAATCTTATGGCAGCAGTTTCCACCTATGGTATATGAAAGCTGCTCTGAGTACCTTTGTGTGAGTTGGGATGGACCCACCACACTAACCATGGCTAACAGCATGGGTCAGAAAACTTGTGTCAGGATTGGGGATGGACCATCAAAAATTACTAAATTAAATCCTATAAACTGAGATGTGTGAACTGAAGATGGTGATATATTCACATATGAATAGAAGCATACGCATGATCAATGAGTGTTGCTTAACTGACAAATGGTAAGTTTGTCAGCAACTCAGTGTATCCTTACACCTTCCAATGGTGTAGGACTGAGCACTGCTTATCCTCTTTTTCTGATCAATGTAATTCTACAAATTAAAATCCACATTTAAAGCACTTTAAGAACATTTATCCATTCTGGTCTCTCCTAATGTGATTCTTTGACACTGCCCAGGAGTTTTAGAAAATCAGAAGTAACCTTCTGAACCAGGAATGACTGGCCACAGTGCAGATTAGGGAAGATGGTTTATACAGGTTGTATAAAGTAAACCCACTCTGGAGAAATGCTTTCTTAAAAAAGAGGTCCAAATTACTTCAACCCCCTTGAGTCTCAGCTGAGAATGGCATTACTTCACTACTTTCAGAGGTAGCCTTAGCTACATTGCCCAAGGATATACCCAGCCTCAGGACCTATCTGTAACCTGCTCTCTTTAATGACAATGGATGTTTTCAATACTGAGCAAGCTGAAGACTGGCTTGTAACCTTTGCAGATGACTTCAGTAAGTTTACATTTATGTAGGCTCAAACTCACTGAAACTGGCAAAAAGTTGCAAAATTACAAACCAAACCAGATGCAATACCAGAAAAATCTGTTTGTGCAGGGTACACTTGAGTTTAGTCGTCAGATTTATAAGTCATATTGCTTCCTATTAAAAATATTTAGATAGTTACTGGGTTTTTTTCTGCTGTTTGTTTTGTGGGTGTTTTTTTTTAATTGGGGTGTTCTGGTTTTTTTTTTTGTTTTAAAATTTTATTCCCCTGAAAGTACCAGTAACCCCAAACTTTCACAAATACAAATAGAGTATATATGGACTAGTGGTGACAAGCAGCGTTCCCCACTGGTCAGTGCTGGGGCCAGTTCTGTTTAACATCTTTATCAACAACCTGGACAAGGGGACTGAATTCTCCCTCAGTAAGTTTGCAGACGACACTAAGCTGGGTGAGAGTATTGGTCTTCCTGAGGGTAGGAAGGCTCTGCAGAGGGACCTGGATAGGCTGGATCAATGGGCTGAGGCCAATTGTATGAGCTTCAACAAGGTCAAGTGCTGTGTCCTGCACTTGGGTCACAACAACCCCTTGCAACGCTACAGGCTTGGGGATCTGAGGAAGAGTGGCTAGAAAGCAGCTTGGCAGAGAGCGATCTTGGGGTACTGGTCAACAGCCAGCTAAACATGAGCGAGCAGTGTGCCCAGGTGGCCAAGAAGGCCCATGGCACCCTGGCCTGTATCAGAAATAGTGTGGCCAGCAGGACTAGAGAAGTGATAGTTTCCCTGTACTCAGCACTGGTGAGGCCCCTCCTCAAATACAATGTTCAGTTTTGGGCCTTGCACTACAAGAAAGACATTGAGGTGCTGGAGCGTGTCCAGAGAAGGGCAATGAAGTTGTTCCAGGGTCTGGAGCATGAGTCTTATCAGCAGCGGCTAATAGAAGTGGAGTTGTTTAGTTTGGAGAAGAGGAGGCTGAGGGGAGACCTTATCACCCTCTATAACTACCTGAAAGGAAGGTGTAGTGAGGTGGGGGGTCGGTCTCATCTCCCAAGTAACAAGTGACAGGACAAGAGGAAATGGACTCAAGTTGTGTTAGGAGAGGTTCTGATTAGATATCAGGAAAAAATTCTTCACTGAAAGGGTTATCAGGCATTGGAACAGGCAGCGCAGGGAAGTGGTGGAGTCACTATCCCTGGAGGTATTTAAAAGATGAGTATATGAGGTGATTAGAGACATGGTTCAGTAGTGTATAGATTTTGGTTGGACTCAATGATCTTAACATCTTTTCCAACCAAATGATTCTATGATTCTATGAATTTTCAAATTATACTCAAATTCTGCTCAAAGCTTATCTATCTGCTGATATGTCTTTGTCTCTCTGTACTGCCCATAATCTTCCTTATTAATTAATACATTCAATTTAAAGCTGACTGCTCTATAAATCTTCTTGGAAGTCATAGTTTGATAATTTGGTGTGTCTGGTGTGTCTGCTTCATTGGCTAAAGTTTCTAAGATTTCAGGTACACTTTATCCTCCCCAGAATTACTGTTATATGTGACTGTACTGCAGAAAAACAGGAAAAAACAGCCTTAAAAATTACACTTTCTAGGACCCTCTCCATTGGCCACTTGTTCATAAGAAACCTGACTGAAGCAGTAAGCATGATAAATCCCAGCAACAGCTTTGGTATGATATGAGCTTAAAAAACAACAGGGAGCTTGTAGAGAAGGAGGCTGCTGAAAGAGGATGAAATTTTGACAAACAACTCATTTCAGCTCTGATTAACAGGAATTCACAGACACATGGGGTTGAGAGGGAACTATGGTGACTACTGCAACCCATTCGGAAGGTAAAAAAAAATACTTACGGAGCCGTAGACTTTTCCTTTCTTGTTCATGGCTAAATAATAGTTGCTCTTAATGGACTTAACGGCCACAACTCCAATGTCTACAGAAGTTATCTCCAATATGCCTAAAAAATAAAAATTGAGCTATTTAATCACTTCATTAGAGGTTTTTCTTGCTACAGAAATGACAACAAACCTGAAAAATACTAAACTTCTAATATTCAGTACCAACAAACCATCTGACTTTAGCAAAATTCTTCTCTAAACCATTGCAAGAATATAAACAAACATTGTTTCAATTAACATGTTTCCTTTGCTAACCCTGCATTTTAAAACCCATAAATACTGAAACAGCTCCATTCTTAGCATAGATTTTACTAAAATTTATCAGTAGAGACATCTGAACCACAGCACTAAATTAAATCTATAGCATATGTCAATAGAATGTTAGATTTACCCCAGTCTTCAAAACCAGTGGTAAACTATTTATTCCTTGTAGGACATTTAGATAAACTAAATCTTTTGGCTGCACTGAACTGATAAATCAAGTTTTGGCAAGTGTGTTGACATTCTGGGATATAGTAAGACTAACCCTAACGGCCACATTATCTTTGTCTTTGAGATATCAGAAACATTTTGCTCTCTTTGTAATAAATACGACTTTTTTTTTCTTTAGAAACAAACTTTCCAATACTGTATGGTTCAATGAGCCAATAATGGGAGACAGAGCTTTTAATCTCTATGTTTTCTGCCCAAAAGCATACTGATTTTGGAATAGTAGAAGTTACTGAAACTTACACAGTGACTTTAGAGATCTCTTTTCAGCTATCACTAAAGGAAGTAGATGGTTATGTGTTTGGGCATTGTGTCTTAAGATAAATATGGCTCCAACCAAATAACTTTCAAATTGTTTATTCAGGAAGTATGCCTGGCTCCAACATTTCTCCTTATATTAAAGTAGCTATAAAAGTAGACAGAACAATAGCCCATCCAACTCACAGGTCACTAATGGGGAAATTACAGGAGGGCCAAAGTGTTGAGGAATTGTAAAGAAAATCCGAGGTAGTCAACAAATAACGTGCTGAATAGATCAGCTGGGAAAAAAAGCTGCCACTTAAAAAAAAGAACTCACAATAATTTCCTCCTAAATACGTTTAATGGTTTTTGTCTGAGCAGGGTAGTACTGGAAAATCCCTATGTTTTTTCGTTTACTTAGAAATTCCTCACGGTAACCACACATTGACTGAAGCCAACAGTGTAACTTGGTATTCAGTGCGTTTTCTGGAAATGCTGACTTGCTGTCCCTGAAAACTGAATGCAGTCTGTTCAGGCTGTGGAACCATGTGGACTTTAGTGTGCAGAGGAGGAAGTTCTTCCACTGTAAATTTCTTTAAAAATGGCTGCTTTACATACAATGCAAAAGCCATTCTGTATGGCCATTGAACTGGTCTATGCAACTCAGGAACGAGGGTGTTACTTGTTCTGTGACTAGAAGTAGAGGCTTTGATGTTAGCTGGACAGCAGCTGTGAATCAAGCACAAAAAAGCAATAGCTGATTTTTATTGAGAAGTAAACTGACGATATAGTTTATGCATGTGAAGAAGTGGGAGAACATCAAGCTAGGCAATTTAACATAAAAGATCTTTCACTGTCAAGAAAAGAGAGGTGGCCTTTCATGCATACATTTTAAAATATATATAAAATTCTGTACTCACATAAACTATACAAATTTTGACATGAAGATCTATAAATTCCAGTGCAATTACCAGAGGTTTTGCATTTACTTAGTGAGACAGCTTAGGCTAGCCACAGCTACAAGGTTTATAGTCCTTGCATATAAGAAAGGCTACAGTGAGAATTGCAAGATAATCTACAGTCAGTCTAGGATCTAGTAAGGCCCTTCAGAAAAAAATGGACCATATTAAACCAGAAAGAATAATATTTTTTAAAAAAGAGTTTATTGTCCCAAACTATAAAGAGCTGAAAGTGGAGGATTATTTTGTTTAAATATTGATATCAAAATGCAAGTATAAATGATGACAGACACAAACGATCAGTAAAGTTAGCTTGAGAATTGGCACGAGGTGCTGAGGTGAAAATAAGACGACTTGTAACTTACAGGAACTCTGTAATACAGGAAGATGCAGAAAATGTGAGCGAAGAGTCATTTAAGACACATGACCTACTTTTAAGGCTAACTTCTCTGCTCATGCAAAGGAGCCATATATCATTTTCCATATGTAACATCAAGAGAGTCATGCTCTTGAATCTCAAGAAAAGTTGTGAGGGCTCCTTAACTAGGTCTTAATAGTTTGCTCATATATACCAGTGTCATGCCATTGATACAAGGAGGTCAGTGAGTCCATACCAGGTAAGGCCTATTATGCCTGTATTACTCAAAAATGTTGCTCATTTTGACAGCAAAGAAAAGCCAAAGCTGCTTTCTCAGTTTTCTGTGAGAAATAAAGAGATGTGGTCTTTAATATTTCTCTCCCATGGGACATCTCCTAAAGTATTTATGCTCAAAATCAGACTTAAGTGGAGTGCCTTAAGTTACACTGATGACAAGCTATTAGAGGGTAAGAATGTGGTGTAAACACTGCTACAACTCCTAGTTCTTTATATATGAGTGACATGGTTTTTTGTATTTTCCATGCCAAAAAGTTGCAAGAAGAATTTAGTTAATTCTTTCTATGGAAAGTAATTGCTGTAACTTGAACTGTGGCACCAGTAAAACTAGGCTGGGTCCATTTCCAACAACAGCAGTAACAAAAATAACAAAAAGGAAGATGCTGGAATAACACCTGCCATTATTAATTTTCATTTTGAAATGGATTAAACAGTTATATTTTGACATTCCTGTAACAATATCATAAAAATATCCCTGTAATAATAACAGCATATTAGAGCATATCTCTGTAACAATATCAGCATATTAGAGCATTTCAGCTGATTATTACACATGCAGCTAAAGGAGAAGTTTGATCTCATCACCAGCAATCCTGGATTTATTATGCGTGTTTTGTATAACTGGAAGTTGAAAAATGTATCATTTGCAGTGACAATTTTGCATATTCTAACCTCTGTAGTATTCTGGGGGGAGAATGGGTAATTTTAATGACTTTTTCTTTCAAATGAATTTAATACTCTTGCTCTATTACCACTTGGGTAACAGGGACTTAATTTGGTACTTACGTACCCTGCTACTCTCTGTACCTCAGAGAGGCTTCACTAGAGTTACATGCTAGTTATAAGGACAGAACTAGCTTTTGTCTAGATTGCAAAGTGTTGAGTATTATTTACAGATTTTCTCAGAAGGAGATCCTCTCATGAGTTTGATAGAAATCTACTGAAGGCAATAGGAATCTTTTCACAGGCATTGGTGATGTAGACACCTGTAGACATATTTCAAAGGCCAGCATTTGAGCACCAACTCCTCTGACATGGATATACAAGCAGAAGTCATAAGGGCTCTTTAGAACTTTGAAATAGACTGGATTGAAATCAAATGCCTTTGATTTAAGGGTGAAAATATGTATTTGATTATTCTTGAGCCATTATAAAA